TTTTGTGCTTCTTTTAACAACTGGTTTTTTGTTGTTGTGTGTTGTTTTTTTTTTGCTGTGTGTGATTGTTTTTGTGTTTGTCTTTGGTTTTTGTCTGTGCTTGTTGTTTTTTTTCTGTTGTGTGTTTGCTATTTCTCTTGCTCGTCTCGCCGCGCGTGAGCCGAGTTCGATTCCTCCGACCCTCTCCTCTCCGGCAGTCAACAAAACGCCCACAGCCAGGCTGTCCTCGAGATCGCAAAGAGACTGCTCGACCCGTATCCTAGGTCTTCAAGAAGAAGACGAAAAACGAGTCGAAGGCTAGAAGTCCCTGAGCTTCGCGCAATAAAAATGGTGATGATTGGGTCGTGTAAATAATAATAATTCTTACTTTAGTCACTATTTTTAGCGATATTTATTATCACGCGCGTGGCGCACATGGTTAGGTGCTGTGCGTCGCATACAAGGTAAATGGTTCGATCTCGCCCTCATGGCTCACTAAATCATCCATCTCTTCGGGGTTCGGTAGATTAGAATCAGACGTGTTTGGGAGGATAAGCAGCACTTACTCGATACAGCCATAGCCACGCGAGTCCTATAAAGGCGAGATATGTTTGCAACCAGCCTCGAACGACGCTACGAATGGAATCAATGCATGATGCGTTCTTCAGGTACTGTCAATGTCGAGCGCTTTATCCTTCGTCCTTTGTGGTCGCTACATTCCCAATCAAGAAAAATTTTGTTCGCTTTTTTTCCGGGAAATTCGTTCCAAGCACATCTGGCGCAGTGGTCAGGGCTCTGTGCCAACACTACGTGGTCCATCAATCGATGGTCGACGGTTCGATTCCGCACTAAGCTTCTCCATATCTGCGCTTCAGTGAAATACCGGACTTGTCTGGGACGATAAAAGCACTTGATTGATTCGTCAGAGGTCACCGCTAGTCTTGAAAAGGCCGAGAAATGCACCCAGTCACCTCGACGATGCTATGAATTGAATCCAATGCATGCGGCGTCCGTCAAGGACTGATCAGTGCCAAGAGCTTCAGCTTTATCCTTCAAATCGGCCATCCACGTTCGCTCGATCCCAGGAGTTCAGCATCCTCGACGATTAACACGGACGTCACGGATTTTCCCACGGCCCCTAACATCATCGTCGTCCGGTGTTGATGAGTGTACGATGCGCTCGCTGGGACGGGGACGAGCCCGACGATCGCAATGCGATCGAGTAATTCGTGATCGATCGATCGATGATCGATCGGTTCCCCCTCCGTTTATTTTTACTCCTATCTATTTATTCATTGATTTTTTATCTCCATACTTATTTATATCCTTACTACGTTCCTATTGATTTCTATTTTATATTTTTATATGAATAGTATTATGTTTTATATCGATTTTTCGGCTCTACAAATTTGATTACTTGAAATCCTTCTTTATTGACCCCTTTTTTGGCGGTTGGCATGATGTTATGAATATACCCAGTGATGTAGAGTCGATGTGCAAAACTTTTGCGTCAGCCGGGACTCGAACCCACATCTCACACTATCGGGAGCGCGTGCTCTAACCCGTTGCGCTACTGATGCCCATTTCACACACCACTCTTTCTACTCTACAAGGACATCGATCTGTCGCCGCCAACCGTCAACGGCTCTGGCCCGGGTAGTCGGTATCGACAGTGAACCCAGTCACGCTGACGGATATTAGGTATAGGAATGATGAAATGAAATTCTTCTATTGGTCTGACGGGTTCAAAGTGCGATACTGAATCCCGGGCCAGGCCGATGACGGCTGGCGGCTGAACAGATAGTGCGTTGTAGCGCTAGAAAGAGTGGTGTGCAAAATGAGCCATCAGTAGCGCAACGGGTCAGAGCACGCGTTCCCCAGAAAGAGTGAGACGTGGGTTCGAGTCCCGCCTGACGCAAACGTTTTTGCACATCACTGGGTATATTTGATCACTGTTTCTTTAATCATATTTGTAGTTTTTACTTATGGTTTCGCCCGCATATTAGTAGTATGTCTACTTTTTTCCTACTTCGTATGTTGGTTTCTTCTGATTATCAGAGAAACAGACAAAAAGCCGATCTCGCTTGCTGGACAGGAACTTTCATAGGAGTGTTAGCATCATTCGAAAGCTTAGATTTCGGCTAGAGCCCCACATGGCCGGTTGATTTCGAAACACTCTGTTTTAAGGCTGTGAAGCCCACACAAAGCATATTATCAAGCTATTCACGTGAATTGGCCTAAGAACCCCTTGATCGCATGACGGGGAATTTCAAACTTATATCACCTTTCTACGTTTAAGGAGTACGTTCTTGTCAGGACGTAAGGATAGCGTTCAAATCAGAAACGATTACGCTATCGAATGAGCACTATATGTCCAAGAGGAAGAGCTCAGTCGGCGAGAAATATGCGTTTCGAAGCCAAGAAATCTCCTCCTCTAGCAGCGTGAAAAAAAGGATTTTTTGAAGACCGACAAAGGACTGTAGCTTGAAGTCTCAGCTTTCGAGTGGTTACTAACACTCCTATAAAACGTTCCTCTCCAGCGAATAAGATAGGCTTTTCATTTCCCTTCATGGTCAGAAAGAACCATTTTGGCATCATGATATTGAGTCGTTCCATTAGGTTTGGGTCCTTGAGCAAATAATACCACATTTATTAACTAAATAATAAAGAGTACATGATTTTAGTATCGTTTCAATTGCGCATTTTCTTGCGAACATTTTGGTATACAACTTGCCTACACTCGCTTCAGGATGGAGCTGTTTAGGGAACAAGTTCGCTTGCTACTCATGCACGAATGGGTGCGCCGAGGAATTCTGCTAATGAAGCGGCGCACAAGATTAATGGGGCTTTAGGCGATGAAGCGGCTGCAGAAAGGACCGCTATGAAGTGGTTCACGAAGTTCAAAGCTGGAGAGAACAGTCTCGAGGATCAAGCGTTTCATTCCGTCCACAGGAGGAATTGATTGTCAGCTGTTCCCGAGATATTATACTTTATTTCGACGTGCTTATAGAGACCACGCTCAAATTTCAGTAGATCCTTTCATTATTATTTGAGCCAACTAGACATGTGGTCTGGTAAGGGCTCTTGTACAGCCCGAGACACGTGTTTCGTCCTTACAGACTCATCAGCGGGCAGAACCCGTCGTCTGTCGATCTTTTATAGTCAGTTCTCTCGGAGCCTTACACTACTTGAAGAGAGTCATCGAAGACGAACGTTTTACACTCTATGTCAAGTGAAACATTCACATAACACAGAGTGTTTGTGCACTCGATTGTTCATTGGTTGGTATTTTTATCATAATTATACCTTTATCTCGAGTGTTTTGTTAAGACCACGCTCAAAGTTCAATATATCCTTTCATCATTATTTGAGCCAACTTGTCGTGATCACCGAGAGATTGAGAAGAATCCCGCAATAACATGCCGAATGCTAGTCGAAGAGTTCGATTGCTGCTTTAAGACCACGCTAACATTCTGTGTGAACTGGGTAAGGTCTGGAAGAAGTCAAAGAGGATGCCATATGATTTTGAGCGAAGCCCAGAAGCCGTCCTTTCTCGCAGCCGTATCATCGCCCCAAGCTCTATTAAGTCTTTTGCGCCGCTTAACTAGGACTTTCCTTTACGCGCCATTCGTGCACGAGTAGCAAGCGAATTTGATCTCAAGACAGCTCCATCCTGAAGCGAGTGTAGGTCAAGTGTTGTATACCAAAATGCTCGCAAGAAAAGCGCAGATTGAACGATACTAAATTATATAATTTTATGTATTTAGTTGATAAATGTGGTGTTTATTTGCTCAAGTGCCAACACTTTTGAAGCGACTTAATATTATCAGATTGAATCAAGTGCTCTAAAGAAAGTAGACGGATTTAGTAATTCTTCATTTTTTCCATCTCCCAGGAATTTGAGCATTTATGAGAGTTTCTATGGCGATTAGATTGTAATAAATCAAAAAGCCGACTCGCATTTAAACTCCACATCGAAAATGAAGATTCTCCCATGGTTTACTTTATATCCAATCGCTCTAGCTGTAATGTGGTGTTACCAACACCCTTATATAAGTGTGTATACCTGTATATACGCCATATATATATATATAATATACATACATATATATTATACGTGCGTGTACATAAATGTACATGTGTATGTACATGTACACACATGTACATGTATATATGTATATATATATATATATTATATATATATATATGTAAATGTAGGAGCGCATGTGGCGCAGTGGATTAGAGGTGCCCTGCGTCGCACACGAGGTCATTAGTTCGATCTCGCGCTCATGGCTACCCAAGCCATCCATCCCTCCGGGGTCGCTTGGCACCAGACAGGTCTCAGACTTGTCTGGGAGGATAAGCAGCACTGACTCGGTTCAGCGGGAGGCCACCGCGAGTCATTGTAAAGGCCAGATATGCGTTCAATCACCTAAAACGAAGTTAGAAATTGAAGTCGAATGCATGGCGCATCCCTCAGGGATTGATCAAACGGCGAGAACTTTATCCTTTAAGCCGTTATCTAAATGTACAATAGAGTTGAGTGATATGAAAAACTTTCAACGTCAGAGACGGAAAGCAAATCCGCCTTCTAACCGTTTGCGAGGGCGTGTGCTAACCAATTGGCTCTTTATGAGGGTTCGATTCCCGTCTGACGTTCAGAGTATTGAAAATCACTCGACATGATTGAGTAGCTCACGAATCGTCCTTTTGGAAGAACTTGAACGAGGCTGGTGACAAAAAAAGGCGGTTTGTGAGACGGTTATCAATTCTTCCCATGCCGACGTTTAGTGGGAGTCATATTTTGGTCTGTTAGGGATTATAATAATTGTGAAAATAAAAAGCTCTTGTCGTTGATCAATCCCTGAGGGATGCGCCATGCATTCGACTTCAAATTCTAACTTCGTTTGAGGGTGATTGAACGCTTATCTGGCCTTTACAATGACTCGTGGTGGCCTCGCCGCTAAACCGAGTCAGTGCTGCTTATCCTCCAGATTATCTGAGACCTGTCTGGTACCAATCTACCGACCCCGGAGGGATGGGTGGCTTGGTGAGCCCATGAGCGCGAGATCGAACCACTGACCTCGTGTGCGACGCAAAGCACCTCTAACCACTGCGCCACATGCTCTCTATATCAATTGTAGAAAAAGAAAATCGGGCGACGTTTTTAGTAATTCATCTTTTTTCCCCTACCATTTTAGGCATGTTTTTCTTCTCGTGAACATTATGATGTATCAAAGTTATTTTTTGAAATCTTAGAGAACTTTCTTTGAATGGCCCTTAGTTATGCAGTGTTTCCCATCAGTCAAGCGTAGGTTAGGTAGCAATTTTTATCGGTTCTTTTCTGTTATCTGGCGGAAAATGAAGAAACGATTTTACGCTGGAGAGAGACTTTCCATTGCACTCCCTAGTAATCAATTCGAAAGCTTAAATCTCTGGCCACTGCACTACATGGCCGTTTTTTGATAAAGCATTTTTACAAACGCTGTAGCAAAGAAGAAACATTTTTGTTTCACACACGCACATTTCTCGCAGGAGAGATCTCTTTCCTCTGTATAAGCTAACCTTCCATTGCTTAAGTTTCGCTGATTCCAGCGCTGTGCTAATTTTCTCAATATACCCGTTTTATTGCAGTGTAGCAGGAAGAATTAGATTGAGTCTCCCATATGCGAGCGCTGTTTTTTGGCTAAGTATGTGGGCTGGGCAGGTGGGCGGGGGGATGCAGGCCTGCGATTCCATACGGCGATCGATTCTCGTTGACGCCTTGCACATGTGGAGTGTATTTTCTGATATTTAGTTGAGATTTTTTCTCCTTTTTGGAAAGAAATTGTAGATAAAACGTAAGGCTCTGATACAACAAGATTTTCTCTGCACATATGCTTTTCGTCTTCTACAGAACTAAAAGTTGAAGAGCGCGGCCGGTGTAAACAAAATTGTATTTGGAATGCTACAGCGTTGTAAAAGGGTCTGTTTCAAAAGAGGAGCACGTAGCGCAGTGGCTAGAGATTTAAGCTTTGTATGGTTAGTAAGCTTTACGAAAGTTCTTGTCAAGGGAAGGCGTCGTGTTTCCTCATTTGTCGCCAGATACAGGAAGGAACCTAGATTTTCAATTAACCCATTGGGTACCTCGAGGGCCTTTCTGATGCTCAGCGGGCGCTGTTCAGATCTCAGTCAGCTACTGTAATGGCGCCATCGCGTTTCGTGGGAAAGCAAGCAGACGGGCAGGCAGCGCGCATAGATATGCAGATGTCGCCTGCCTGACTCCCGCGCAAGCGACGGCCGCGACGCTTCCTGCCTGTCAACGCTGGTCCTCAAAGGGTCAATCTTCAATGAAATCAAGTATGACTAAGAGTGCGTTCTAACAGTCAGCATCACCATATGATTATGTCGATTTTTTCTCCTTTTTGTAGTAACTATGTCTATTTACAAGATCATGATTCAATATCCATTGTCTCTGAAGATGTTCTAAGCCTTTTATTCTAGGGTTATTACTATAAACCTTGTTCGTGGCTTACGGACCGTTTCGGCGGCGTTCGTCGCCTTATCTCTACAACAGGGGAGAAGTGCTCTGATGTTGGCAACACCGCCGAGACGGTCCGTAAGCCACGAACAAGGTGTAAAGTAACAACCTCAAATAAAGGTAGAAACTTAATAGCCTGGTAGAAGAGTTTTGAGCCTTCAAGAGGTCTCGTAGGCATCTCGATGGTATACGTACGTTTCGCCGTCTCTCGCACGCCTCATCAGTGCCGCATGCCCCACGGTCCACCCTGTTACTACTAGCAGTCGCTGCCAAAGAAGTATCGCTCTGCGTCAAAAGAAGAATCACTTGATATTGCGGTCACCAGCGTGACCGATTGTCGATGGCTTACGGTTAATACGGAGGCATATATCAACGTCTGATGAGGCGTGCGAGAACGC